TATGTTTGCTATCTTGAGTTGTTCATAAAAATAACAAAGGCAAGAAAGAAACAAGCAAATGTAAGAACCAGGACACTGTTTTGCAAACATATATATATATATATATATAATTTGATTTATATGCTGCCCTTCTCCAGAGACTCAGGGTGGCTTACAATGTGTTAAGCAATAGCCTTCATACTTTAGTATATTTATACAAAGTCACCTTATTGCCCCCACAAACTGGGTCCTCAATTTACCTACCTTAGAAAGGATGGAAGGCTGAATCAACCTTGAGCCTGGTGAGATTCGAACTTACAGTAATTGCAGGCAGCAGTTGTTAATAACAGTGCTTTAGTCTGCTGCACCACCAGGGCTCTTCATTTCCATTTTCCTGGAAGCTTGCCTAAAAGCTGGGGTTTATGGAAACTGGTCTCCCAGTATCCAGAGGGAACAAGGTTGGAGCTAGCCTGCCCTTAACCCTGGTTGTTTCTTTGTTTACGTTCCCAACTAAAAGCCCCCCATTTCCCCATTGCAGATAAAATCATAACTGGGTTTTTTTTTGTAAAAAAAAGAAGGGGTTCTACTGGCAAACCCCACAAATTCACGGTGCTTCTGTTGAAGCTCAAGCCGCCTCCCCGAGGGATATAAAAGCAAGAGAAACAGGAATAATAATAATAAAAAAAAAAAGAAATCCCCAAAGGAATAAAGGAAAAGGAGGAGAGAAGAAAGCCGAATCAATAAATCTTAACCTCATTGGAGCTCTTATTAAGTAAATTAATTTAAGTTAATTTAACTCGATCACGACTCCCGATCACAGTGATTTAGCGATGGGGGGAAATTGCATTAGGAAAGGCCACACAGACTAGATAGGAGGAAGGGAGGAAATTAGATCCACTTAAGCCATGTGAATTAATAGGGAAATAGCAGGTGTAAATTTCGCCTTATCAAGAGGGGGAAAATTATCTTCATAAATTTATAGAAACAGCCCCCAGGTCGCTCATCAATCTATGGAAAACAAAAATATTACAAAAGTGCGGTAAAATTAATTTAAAATATACTCCCGTCTACTGTCTCCAGGAAAGTTTGTGGTGGAGCAAATGCAACCTCTCCAGATAGGGAGAAAGGGGTCAGCAAGGAAGGAGCCTCCAGGGCTGGAGAAGGACAACATGTCTTGGAGATGCCTTCATCTTTTGGTGCCCACCCAGCCCTTCTCCGTGCTTCCTATCCTTGTCCTACCAGCCTCTCCATCAAAGGACCAGGACAGGAACCACTTGTCCATTTTTTCAAGCAGGAATCACATCACCATGGTCATCATCAAGATCATGGTCATCATCAAAATTATGGTCATCATATCCATCATCATCATCATCATCATCACCATCGTCGTCGTCGTCAAGATCATGGTCAGCATCCCTCTCACCGTCACCATGATCATCATGAAGATCATGGTCATCATGTCCCATCACCATGATCATCATGAAGATCATGGTTATCATATCTATCATCATCATCATCATCATCAAGATCATGGTCAGCATCCCTCTCACCATCACCATGATCATCATGAAGATCATGGTCATCATATCCCTCACTGTCACCATGGTCATCATGAAGAGCATGGTCATCATGTCCCATCATCATCAAGATCATGATCACCATCTCCATCATCAAGATCATCATCAAGATCATGGTCACCATATCCCATCACCACGGTCATCATGAAGATCACAATCATCATATCCATCATCATCATCATCGTCATGAAGATCACGGTCAGCATCATAATCATCAAGATCATGGTCATCATATCCATCACCATAACCATCCTCAAGATCAGGACTCTCCAAACCTGTCCGACTGAGGAATTCTGGGAGTTGAAGTCCAGAAGTCCAGAAGTTGCCAAGCTTGAAAAACCCTGATCAAAATCACAATCGTCATCATCATCATCGCCATCAACATCATCACTACTACCACCATTACTGTCTACAGCAGGGGTGGGCACCTATGGCCTCCTGACCACCTGTGGACTTCAACTCCCAGAATTCCCAGAAGGCTGGCCCAGGAATTCTGGGAGTTGAAGTCCACAGATGGACAAGGGGCCCACCCTGATCTATACCACAACAAGCCTTCCGCCACATAAACCCAAAGGGGTGTGAAGTCTCCCAGACTTCTGATAGGTCTTTCTCTGAGGAATGCCAAGCTGAAATCTGAGATCTACCTGCCTACCAAAAGGGGTAAGGAGAGCTTATGAACACATCTGGTTGACTTTGCAAAGGTTGGCTCAAGAAGGTGTCCCATCTCCAGCTCCTTGGACACCAAGCCCAACCAGGAAGGAGGCAGATGGTCCAGCTGCATCAGACGAGGCAACTGGAGAGCAGAAGGCTAGATCTCGTTTGGCAGCTCTGCTTGGGCTTCCAACATCTCAGGAGGCAAGGAGGAACCTCCAGGGAGACTGAGAAGCAAAAGGCCACCTACACATTTCGGAATCAGAGGCCCTGGAAGAGTCATTCATTTTGGGCAGAAGGCAAAACAACAGGACTCAGGACTATATTTTAAAGGCTCTCCAAATATGTTGAACATTATAAATACAGACAGTCCTCAACTTACAGCTATTCATTTAGTGGCCATTCGAAGCTACAACCCTGAAAAAGGTGACATGATCGTTTTTCACACTTACGTCCATCGCAGCATCGCCATGATCATGTGATCAAAATTCAGAGGCTCAGCAACTGGCTCATATTTATGACGGTTGCAACGTCCCGGGTGTGTGTGTGTGTCACGTGATCCCTTTTTGTGACCGTCTCATGAGCAAAGTCAACGGGGAAGCTGGATTCACTTAACAACCATGTGATTCACGTAACTAATGCAGTGATTTGCTTAACAACTGTGGCAGGAAAGGTCGTAAAATGCGGCCAAACTCACTTAATAACTGTCTCTCTTAGCAATAGAAATGTTGGTCGTAAGTTGAGGGCTACCGGTAAATTGGTACCAAGGATTCCATGGGCCAACATAACACACTTGGCAAAGGACAGTCGGAAAGCGGAGCAAATTCCCTTAAGAAATGTCTCGCTTAGAAACAGGAACGTTGGGCTTAATTGTGGTCGTAAGTCAAGGATCGCCTGTAAATGCACCGTTGTAAGCCGAGTGTTGCCTGTATTTTCCTAGAAAGCGGAATTGCAGTGTCAGACTACGCTGCTATCTCAAAATTAAATGAATTTCCAAACTGCCAATCTTTAAGGAAATCTTTCTTTAATTAAGCACAGCCACCGGATCATGACTCCGCGCGGACAAGACTGACCTTTTGCCCCCCAATCCCTCCCTTTCCGATCCCCAAATCTCTGCTTCTCATTGGCTGTCTTCCAAGTCATTCTTCAGACTTCTTTTTCTCGTCATTTCCCAGGAATGTGCCCCCTCCCCTCATTTCCATGACAACCCGGCTTCAAAGGGATTTAGCAGGCAAAAGTTTCAGAGTTTATCTCTCGCTCTCCTCTGCTCTCTATGCCAGCGTTGAAACACTGACATGCAGCTGATTTTCTCCAGCCAAACTGACACACACGTTTTACACAATAATTCCAAATAATAATTTTCCTAAATCCCTCGCCTCGCCGACTCCTCTCTTCCTCGACGCAAAATTCATAAATGAAAGCTTGGCATCCCCACGTGAAAAGCAGGGCAGCCTTCCTTTGGACCGACTCCGCTATATTTTTAGGAAAGGGATCGTGCATTGTTTTGAGGCAGGGTGTAGTAAATGGGCGAGACTTCCATTTTAAACGCCTGAAATAGCAATTGTTTTGACACCGTCAAACGCTTCTAAATTGCTGGTGACAGAAGTTCCCAGAGAAAGCATCTGCTTCTCTAATTTTTAAACTGTTTTCCAACAGGAACAAATACTGAATGATCAGCTCTTTTTTTTTTTTAAACCCCTACCCCCTCCTCAAAAAAAAAAAAAAAAGGATTATCAGCGTTTTCTTTTATTTCACCCGGTAATTGAAGAAGTTTATTCTGATTTTTTTTAAAAAAAAAAATTCATTTTCCCTCTTTTCAAGCCAGCTGCCGGCCTCGTTTGTAGAACTTTATAATATATTCAGGCACCTTAAACTAATTACTGACAAACGGCTATTGATCATCCGTTGTGGGTTTGTGTGAATGTGTTTCTAATGTACTAAAGCAGAGGCCTTCAAACTTGGCAGCTTTAAGACTTGTGGACTTCAACTCCCAGAATTCTCCAGCCAGCATAGCTGGCTGGAGAATTCTGGGAGTTGAAGTCCACAAGTCTTAAAGCTGCCAAGTTTGAAGACCTCTGTACTAAAGAGTTGCAAATATCCTTCCTCGAACCTCAAGGCAGAGACCACAACCCGAGTTAGCCACAAGCCGTCATGATAAGATGGAGACAACCTTGGGAAGGTTATGGGAAAGAGGCCATGGCTCAGGTTGAAAATGGAAACGGGCCCCCGATAAAAACACAGGTGCTTGTAGTTCTCGAGTTACGACCATCATGGAGCCTGCCGTCACGGTCGTAACACACGAAGGTCATGAACATGACCTGATTTTTTTGCCACTGCTGGCAAAAACTGCTGAAAGGACTGGGTTCTGGATGACACAAGGCTCCACACCCATTTGCACCACTCAGGTGACCCCAAGTACACAGATAAACCTCCAAGTGGCCTCAAGGACCCTCTAAAAGGATGCAAAGGACCAGCTTTTGCCTGCAAGGAGTATCAATCCTTCCCCATCATCCAGTCAGAGCTGAAGAAGCTTCTTGGATGAGAAGCGAAAGGTCTTCAAGAAAAAACCAGGAAGGCCAGTTTTGATAGCTGTGGGAATTTCTGGGCTCAAGTGTGGTTGTTAAGTCGGGGGCTGCCTGGATACGTCGTGTGAATTTTCTTGGCAAGAGGAAGGGAGGGCATTCCCCATCTAACGACAGGCCTCTCGCGTCGCTATGAAAACACCCCTCCGGAAGCTCCCCGTTCTGCCGTGAATTAAGACGCTCGTGGGCGAGATCGCTTTGCAACCCTCACCTGGACGACGAAAGCCTCCTGGCCTTCCAACCGTGAGCCGGGCTGGCACCGGAGGCTGCAGGGGTCACGGGAGGCCCCGCCGACTTCTTCACCAGCCTGTAGCGAGTATTGACCACGCGGTGGGCCGCTGGGCTGGTGACCAGGACGAAGCTGGGACCTGCGGAGGAAAAAAGACACGTCAGCTTGAAATAAAAAAGACTTTCTTAGTTCATCAAGCTGGTCTGACCTAAGTTTTTCCCCTTTTTAAATGGAAATTTTAAATTTGGTTTTAAATTATTGGCGTTTTAAATTTGTTCAGCCAAATTATTTAATTCGTTTTATTCTATTTTTATATGTTTTTATTCTATGGCTGTTCACCGCCCTGAGTCCTTCGGGAGTAGGGCAGTATACAAATTCAATAAAAGTAAAGTAAAGTAAAGTAAAAATCAGAGGGGCAAAAAAAAAGGGGGACCATCATCGTTCCTTTATTCAGCACCTGGCTGCTCTTTGGAGAACCCGAGATCCTGGTTTGGGGGATTCGGGCGCCACACTGGGGAAGCAATTCCATCAGAGGTTTGTTAACACAATTAGGAAAGGCGTTTGTGATGCTTTTTAATGAACTCGTGCTGGATGCCTGGCGGAACAGGGACTTGCCGGCATTTGCCGGATGAGATGCTCAGCAGAGAAGACGGTGCCAGGGCGTGAAATCGGGCTGTCCGGGGAATCAAGCGGTGTGTGCCACGTGTGCGAGCGAGAAACCGAAAGAGAACATTTGGTAGAGCCTTGGTAGTACAGTGGTCTAAGGCACCCTGTTATTAAGCTGGTTATTAAGACCAGCTGCCTGCAATTACTGCAGGTTCGAATCTCACCAGGCTCAAGGTTGACTCAGCCTTCCATCCTTTCTAAGGTAGGTGAAATGAGGACCCAGTTTGTGGGGGCAATAAGCTGACTTTGTGTAAATATACAAAAGGATGAAGGCTATTGCTTAGCGCATTGTAAGCCGCCCTGAGTCTCTGGAGAAGGGTGGCATATAAATCAAATTTTAAAAAAAACAAAAACATGCCATTTGCGGGCCGCCTCTTCCTGGCTCACCAGTGCCGAGAACTGGGCAGCATAACAGAGAAAAAGAAGAAGGAAAAGAAACATCTCCGACAAAATGCAGCTTGGCTCACTTGCTTGAGTCATACGTGACACGTGGTTCAGCTCAACGGGGACTTCACTGGGGTATCTCTACCCCCCAAAAGCTCCCTCATAGCAAATGGAGACCAGGGGAGATTGAGGTTACCACTTCATCCACCCGAATGGCAGCAACAGGTAGTCCTTGGCTCACGACCACAACCGAGCCCAACATTTCTGTTGCTAGGTAAGACAGTTGTTAAGTGAGCTCTGCCCCATTTTATGACATTTCTTGCCACTGTTGTTAACCAAATCACTGCAGCTGTTAAGTTAGGAACTCGGTCGTTAAGTGAGTCTGGCTTCCCCATGGACTTTGCTTGTCAGAAGATCGCAAAAGGTGACCCCAGGACACTGCAACCGTCATAAATATGAACCAGTGGCCAAGAGTCAAAAACTTTGATTACGTGATCACTTTTGATCACGGGGATGGTGCAACGGTCGTAAGTGTGAAAAACGGCTGTAAGCAGCTTACGTTGTATCTTCGAATGGTCACTAAGCGAACTGTTGTAAGCAGAGGACTACCTGTATTGCATTTTTGCATCGGCTGAATGTTCTAGAGCAGAGGTTTGAAGACCTCTGTTCTAGATCCTTCCTCCCATACCGCGAGTGACTTTGGATGCGTTCCACATCCATTTAGAAAGAAGACCTTTATCGGAGAGGTCTCGGGGCTCCCAAACAGATTTATGCATTTCATCATTTAATAACAATATTTTGCAAGGTGATAGAAACGCCGTTTTTTTCCTCCCTGCTGAAGGCTCCTTGCAATTAACAGCTCAATTGTTGGATTCTCTTCCTTTCTGTTCTGGCTAGCCGGTCCTTTTTTTTTTTCCACCCCCCCCCCCCAAACAGCTTTAAGGAATGCATCTAATTGCCCGACTTTTATAACGTACAGCTGTAACTGCCCAGATAATTAAAGCTGACGTGCCGTGCTGAGACTTTAGCTCTGATTTGAAACGATGGCTCCCCCTCACTTGAAATTATTGCAATTATTGGTGGAAAAGTGGGAAAAAAGAAAGCCGTATATTTCTTTCTTTCCCCCCCCCCCCCCTGAATTTCTTCTCCCAGGCTTGGTGAACCTAAGTTTTTCCCCTTTTTAAATGGAAATTTTAAATTTGGTTTTAAATTATTGGCGTTTTAAATTTGTTCAGCCAAATTATTTAATTCGTTTTATTCTATTTTTATATGTTTTATTCTATGGCTGTTCACCGCCCTGAGTCCTTCGGGAGTAGGGCAGTATACAAATTCAATAAAAGTAAAGTAAAGTAAAGTAAAAATCAGAGGGGCAAAAAAAAGGGGGACCATCATCGTTCCTTTATTCAGCACCTGGCTGCTCTTTGGAGAACCCGAGATCCTGGTTTGGGGGATTCGGGCGCCACACTGGGGAAGCAATTCCATCAGAGGTTTGTTAACACAATTAGGAAAGGCGTTTGTGATGCTTTTTAATGAACTCGTGCTGGATGCCTGGCGGAACAGGGACTTGCCGGCATTTGCCGGATGAGATGCTCAGCAGAGAAGACGGTGCCAGGGCGTGAAATCGGGCTGTCCGGGGAATCAAGCGGTGTGTGCCACGTGTGCGAGCGAGAAACCGAAAGAGAACATTTGGTAGAGCCTTGGTAGTACAGTGGTCTAAGGCACCCTGTTATTAAGCTGGTTATTAAGACCAGCTGCCTGCAATTACTGCAGGTTCGAATCTCACCAGGCTCAAGGTTGACTCAGCCTTCCATCCTTTCTAAGGTAGGTGAAATGAGGACCCAGTTTGTGGGGGCAATAAGCTGACTTTGTGTAAATATACAAAAGGATGAAGGCTATTGCTTAGCGCATTGTAAGCCGCCCTGAGTCTCTGGAGAAGGGTGGCATATAAATCAAATTTTAAAAAAAACAAAAACATGCCATTTGCGGGCCGCCTCTTCCTGGCTCACCAGTGCCGAGAACTGGGCAGCATAACAGAGAAAAAGAAGAAGGAAAAGAAACATCTCCGACAAAATGCAGCTTGGCTCACTTGCTTGAGTCATACGTGACACGTGGTTCAGCTCAACGGGGACTTCACTGGGGTATCTCTACCCCCCAAAAGCTCCCTCATAGCAAATGGAGACCAGGGGAGATTGAGGTTACCACTTCATCCACCCGAATGGCAGCAACAGGTAGTCCTTGGCTCACGACCACAACCGAGCCCAACATTTCTGTTGCTAGGTAAGACAGTTGTTAAGTGAGCTCTGCCCCATTTTATGACATTTCTTGCCACTGTTGTTAACCAAATCACTGCAGCTGTTAAGTTAGGAACTCGGTCGTTAAGTGAGTCTGGCTTCCCCATGGACTTTGCTTGTCAGAAGATCGCAAAAGGTGACCCCAGGACACTGCAACCGTCATAAATATGAACCAGTGGCCAAGAGTCAAAAACTTTGATTACGTGATCACTTTTGATCACGGGGATGGTGCAACGGTCGTAAGTGTGAAAAACGGCTGTAAGCAGCTTACGTTGTATCTTCGAATGGTCACTAAGCGAACTGTTGTAAGCAGAGGACTACCTGTATTGCATTTTTGCATCGGCTGAATGTTCTAGAGCAGAGGTTTGAAGACCTCTGTTCTAGATCCTTCCTCCCATACCGCGAGTGACTTTGGATGCGTTCCACATCCATTTAGAAAGAAGACCTTTATCGGAGAGGTCTCGGGGCTCCCAAACAGATTTATGCATTTCATCATTTAATAACAATATTTTGCAAGGTGATAGAAACGCCGTTTTTTTCCTCCCTGCTGAAGGCTCCTTGCAATTAACAGCTCAATTGTTGGATTCTCTTCCTTTCTGTTCTGGCTAGCCGGTCCTTTTTTTTTTTCCCCCCCCCCCCCCCCAAACAGCTTTAAGGAATGCATCTAATTGCCCGACTTTTATAACGTACAGCTGTAACTGCCCAGATAATTAAAGCTGACGTGCCGTGCTGAGACTTTAGCTCTGATTTGAAACGATGGCTCCCCCTCACTTGAAATTATTGCAATTATTGGTGGAAAAGTGGTAAAAAAGAAAGCTGTATATTTCTTTTTTTTCCCCCTGAATTTCTTCTCCCAGGCTTGGTGAAGGCAAGTTTAATATTTCCTGTTGGCTACGTTGGACCATTTCAAAGGGCACAAAATAAGGGGAAATCTATCAGGGGTGGCACCACAGGAAGTTAAGAGAAGAACTGAGCTGGAAGGGACCTCCGAGGTCTTCTAGTCTGACCCACTACTCAAGCAGGAGCGTCCATCCTTGGGGACTTTACGACTTGTGGACTTCAACTCCCAGAATTCCCCTGCTTGCCTGCCTGTCTGCCCCTTTCCTTTCCCTTTTTATCTTCCTTTCCTTCTTCAATTCCCTTCCCTTCTTCACCCATTTACTTCTCCTTTCCTTTCCTCCTATTTTTCTTCCTTTCCTTTCCTTTCCTCTCCTCCCCTCTCCTCTCTCTCCCCTTCCCCTTTTTATCTTCCTTTCCTTTTCTTTCCTTTTCTCCTCATTCCATTACTTTCTCCTTTCCTTTCCTCTCTCCCCCTCCCCCTCTTTATCTTCCTTTCCTTTCCTTTTCTTTTCTTTTCTTTCCTTTCTCCTTATTCCATTATTTTCTCCTTTCCTTTCCTTCCCTTCCTTCCTCCCTTCCTGCTTCCCCCTCCCTTTCTCCTTTTTTCCCTCCCTCCCTTCCTTCTTATTGTGAAGCACCCACTGATATAAAGGTAGTCCTTGACTTACAACTGCAATCGAGCCCAACTTTTATGTTTCAAAATATAAAATACAAAGAAAAAAAAAGTAGTGGAAAACAAAGAAGAGGGGGAAGGAAAAATAAAGAAATATAGAAAAGAAATCCGAGCACTTGTTAAGTGATTCACTGCAGTTGTTAACTTAGTGACACGGTCATTAAATGAATCTGGCTTCCCTATTGACTTTGCTTGTCAGACGGTCGCAACATGAAGCTGGAGCGCTGCAACTGACATCAGTACATGCCAGTTTCCAAGTCTCCAAATTTTGATCAGCTGACCACG